TTAAAAAAAAAAAAAAAAAAAAAAAAAAAAAAAAAAAGATTCATCGCTCCATTCTTTATGGCTGTGGATCAAAATTTAAGTTCGGATCGATTATGAAAAAACCTCGAATGAATTTGTATTTCAGAGTTCAAATGTCAAGCCCAGAGTCCCCATTACTATTTATGGAACATTTTCCCTTCCAATGAAACACATTTGCATAGGAACGGGCAATTTCATGTCTTACATGAAAGACGTTCTGTGGTATTGGTATTTCAAGAGGTCAAAATAAATGCATATCAAAAACTGAAGACAGTCCATTGAACATGAGGTTTCCTGCTATAGGTGCCCAGTCTACAGGAATCTGCCACCAGTTTGCCATCTGCGGCAGCAACCGGGTAAATGTTGCCAGGAACCCGTATGTGACTACAACAAACAATTCGGAACGTTTGACGGCATGGGAGCCGTCAGCGGCAAAGGAGTCGGTCAGTATGATACTCTTCTGGTTATCACAACGTCGTTACATGTCAATAGGATTTTGCAGTTATGATATTTGTGACACTTTATCAAATTAGAAAACTCTAAATAGGCAATAGAAATCAATATCTAGTCTATGTTCAGTTTTTAGTCATGTCATATAATCCCAGATCTTATACGCATACCGTTTCTTATGTTCTATAACTAATAAAGCTTAAACAATTAGCGAAAATAAACCTTTAATCCTATAACTGTTTTGGTTTAGAATACATGTTATTCAGAGTACTCTGTATTGATCACGTGATTAACCGTGTGGTTTCGGATTGGCTGTAGGTCAGACCCCGACCTCGCCTCCTGCTTGCGTTAACAAAGCGACAAACTGCAACCTATACCAGGTCAGCATGTGTACCAGCTCTGGTTACCATGACTGGGCCAAGGAGAACTGCGCACTCTTCTGCAATTTCTGCTGTAAGTACAAATTACTGCTATTTCTATAGTTATATATATATTCACTAGAAATATGAAAAAAGAGGAGCATCTATTTGAACTTTTAGTCAGTCTAGGCAGAAAGTCTTGTACTGCACCATATGGACATTTTGTCCATTTATGACTAATTAATGGTACTAATTTATGGTTAGAAGAAAAAAATATGTTTAAAGTGATCCATATAAATATACATAAACAACCATTTATAACTTAGAAAATTTACCAGTTATTACATACGATTGTAGCTTCTGGTGTAAACATATTTAATTATTGTTTCTACTTTAAATTCTGAAAAAAACCGCAAATTGAAAAATAATAATTTCGCTTTTGTTGATACGTTATATATATTTTCCGACAATAACGGAAATGAATTTGTGTTTGTTAGCGGAGTTCACCCAACCGTTACCATCAGGTAAGCAGATCATTCAAGGTTTTTTGTTTTGTTTTTTCATTGTTTATTCGACAGATTTCTACGATTATGTCAAAATTCAAACTATGATAAAACACATTGAAATTTTACAATTTGAAAAATCAACTTGTTTTCACTCGATGATTTCAAAATCTCTTTAGATCTGAACTATAATTTACCACATCAGTCGTCGACAACATATTTGAGAGGAGTGGTATTTCTCGACGTCAGCAATAAAAAGCTGACATAACCTTTTGTATCATAGGGAAAACAAAACACTTCAACAAGCTTTTTGCATTAATAAGTTAATACGTTATGTGGTATGCGGCTTATATCTTTATAAGAAATGTTTAACGGCATATAAGTATAATTATCTAAACGACATCATACCGACAATCGACGTATTATGCGTAGTGAGTGAGGTTATGTAGTACTTAACATAGTCTTCAGATCAACGAATTACTGTAAATAATGTGATAATGGGGTCGTATTTTCGCTCATTTCAACGTTTCTCATATTTCAAGATCTTTCCCACAAACATACAGAATGCATTTTTCGATGAAAGGTTGTCTCGCTGTCAAAGAAACCCAACAGAGATTCTGTACACAGGGACATTTTTGCTGCAGTTTAATTTTCGCCCTTTTCGCTTTCGTAATAAAGACTAATTCATATTAACAGCAGATACAAGTACACAATATGATAAACTTAGTAATTATATATGTAGGACGAAATTAACACTAGTTGAAAATTGATCTCATGGGCAAAGGACAACAGTTTGACTGGGCGAAAATTTTCCCATTAATAACTACCTTATTTTTACAGAGAAGTGTATCTACAAGGGTGTGGACTACTCTCAGGGCCAAACCTGGTTTGACGGTTGTGATTTCGAATGTATGTGCGAGAATGCCAAGTATGGATTTTACAGATGTAACAAACGGTAAGTTGTCATCACCTGTTTTTGATTTTCTAAGCCAACATGACAACTGTTTACCATTCCATGTCATAAATTTTGGTAATACAAACGTGTAATAAAATATAAAGGTGCTGCGATTGGTCAAAACCGCGGGAACATATATTCCTACCCGACAACAGAAACTACTTTTATTTACTCTACCACATGATACAGTTGCTGTTTCATTATATGAATTTGAAATGTTTATTTGGTCATTAGCATAATTATTTTCACTGCATTTTAAACTGTTCATTACTAAGAAAGTATGGAACTACTTTACACTCCGCATAACGACGATCCTAGTATCAGCGTATTTTGGCTTTGACCTATAAAGAGTCAGCTGATAACGCATATTTTGTGTTTGCAATTTGTTTTCAAATTATGTAAATTATGTGATGGATATAATCTTACTCGAGTGTGCATGTCATATAGAATTTATTAAACTTGTCCAATAGTTTGATACGACACTCGCCTAAAGGCTCAAGTTTAACAAATTCAATATGACAATTTGACAGAAGTGCTTCTTAAAAATAAACTAATGGAAAAATAAGTCCAGTAAGAACGCGAACAATTTTACAACAAAACTAGACATTTTAAACACCGCGCTAAATTGACTTTTTCCACAAGAAAATGACTTCGAAATATCGACGCTGCATAAGGTATTATGGTTTTGATGTTTCAAATATGGTCTGGTTGATGAACTGTTTTGCTCTTCTGATACAGTTTTTCGTGTCAGTTGTCCATTCTTTAAAGCTCAAGAAGAATGTTCAATTGCATGTTCAAATGATAACAATATTTATCTATAAGAGGTTTCAGTTCTTATGTTTAGTTATTAGAGACATGTATCAAACTGAAGAAGATAATGATGTAGATTATGAAAAAAAATATAAGACTGAAAATACAACACATGAAGTACATGTACCAGGCAGCTAACAGCGCACAATATCAGCATGGAACATCGAAGCATGCTTTTCTATCATGGCATGAAAGTTTTACTTGTAGTAACAAGGTAATACTTTCTAATTTTAAAGGGATAACTTTGAATTTCCCAGTAATGTTTTTTTTTATTTCCTCTTTTCAATAAACGGATTTGCGTTAATGAAGCAATGTGCATGTTCTTTTTGACTTTTAAAGGTGCCCAGACTTTGTCAACCTACCGCTCAACTGCCATTCTGTGAAAACGCAAGGCTACTGCTGCCCTAAAGTACAGTGTGATGGCGGACAGGGTTCTTTTGTGGGGTCGTCAACAGTCTCTGGTGTGGTGGGAAGTTATCCCATACCCAACCTTCCCTCTGGTAGTGGTACCAGTGGTAGTGGCTCCAGCGGCACTGGCGGTACTGGCGGTACTGGCACCAGTGGTCCCGGTGGCTCTCCTTCAACGGGCACAGGCACAGTTACAGGCGGGGGGCTAGTGTCGCCCGGTCCAGGTGGGTCCACGCAGGCTCCCAGTGCTAACACGGGAGGCGCCGCCATGATTCCTTCAAGAGTAGGTAAGTGAACGAAAATCATTCCTCGGACATCATTGGTTTTTCGCTGATATCCGAATGATTCAAGTTATGATAAACTGCTCATAATAAATGTTCACTTGGCCATGTTATTCCAATGCAAGCATTACTAAAGTTATTACATGCTTGCCAAAATACTTTTAGAGTTATGAAACTTCTAATTTATCTTCTCTGACTGCACTAGGGGAACCTTTGCAAAAAATATGAGATTGACTGCATTTTGTTTTCTGCATAAAAGTTGGCTCGGATGGATGCTGGTTAAATGACAAATATATATCTAATACTATTTATTTTATTTGTTTTTTCTTTGATGATCTTATCAAAATAACGACTGTATTTGAATTCTTTGACAGGTTTGAAAGTCAATAAAGGGTCCAATGATTAAAAAATAATTTTGAGATTCTTATGTGACTGAATGTTAAAATGTCTTCAATTTCAAACAATTGCTTTGTCAACTGCACAGTGTAGGGCTATGGACCCCTTGCTATATATAAAACATTAATTTAACTACATACAGAGCTACAGAAAACATACCTTAAACATGATGGAGAAGGGTCCAATTCCCATTTTTAGCTTACCTGGTCCGAAGCTTATGCCATACCGCAGCGTCCATCGTCCGTCCGTCCGTCCGTCAACTTTTCCTTTAAAACGCTACTTGTCATGAACGTCTGAGCAGATTTTGACCACATTTAGTCAGAAGCATCCTTTCGGGAAGGGGAACAAATTTTGTATAAATGGTGGGTCTGGCCCCCCTGGGGGCTGAGGGGCGGGGCCCAATAGGGGAAATAAAGCAAATTCTTTAAAATCCTTCTTCTTCTGTAGGAATGATAGGATTTGTTCCATATTTCGTCTGAAGCATTCTAGGATGAAGGGGAACCTTTTTGTATAAACAGTGGGTCTGGCCACCCTGGAGGCTGAGGGGTGGGGACAAACAGGGGATTTATAGATAAAACCTTTATAATCCTTCTTCTACTATAGGGATTAAGTGATATTATTCTAATTTAGTCTGGAGCATCCTTAGGCAAAAGGGACTCAATTTCATATAAACAACGAGTGTTGGCCCCCCTGGGACAGAAGGGAGGGGCCCAATAGGGGAAACATAGCAAATTCTTCAAAACCCTTCTTCTTCTGTAGGAATGACAGGATTTTGTCCAAATTTTGTATGAAGCACCCTTGGGTAAAGGGGAAACAATTTTGTATAAACGGTGTGTCTGACCCCTCTGTAGGCAGAGAAGCGGGTGAAATAGAGGTAAAGTCTTTAAATTCCTTCTTCGACCATCGAGATTATGGGATTTTATCCTTATTTAGTCTGGAGCATCCTTGGGTCAAGGGGACTCCATTTTTTATAATTGGTGGGTATGACCCCCCTAGGTTGCATAGGGGTGACCTTGTGTTTGAAGTTTGTTCCCGCTATATCTCAAGTACTGGATGTACCTTTCTGAAATTTCATATGTTCTTATAGCACCTACTTCATACTAATTATTTTAAACATATTCCGGTGAGCGATACAGGCCCTCTAATTTTGTTATGTGAAATATATAAATATGACGAAAATGTTATCATAAATGTACAATCTCAATTGCAGACGGTTGCTATGTCAAAGGAAAACTTTACCAGCAGGGTCTACGGTGGACGGATGGTTGTGACTGGACATGTATCTGTGAGGATGGTACTACAGGCCGGTACCGATGTCAGCCCAAGTACGTCACATGACCCCCCTTTTTATTAACTTAAGGCCCTTATGTGTCTAGAGTCACACAAAAGAGTATATCGGAACAAGGTAAAGCAAGTAGTATAATACATGGTCACAGTGACCTATTTTTCAACCATGTTCAAGATTTGTGGGCCAGTGTTACATGTATGCCATGCAGCTATAATGTTACATAATGCATCAAAATTATGAAGAAAAATCTCAAAATTAATATTCAGCTTTGAAAATGAAATTTGGTCCCCCAGATTAAACTTCTCATTCATATCATGACGACATAACCCAGCGTATGTTGATGCAGAACAATTTATCTGTGATAGTCACTAAAAAACCTGGAATGGCACCCATCATTTAATACTGCAATTTACTCAATTAAATACAAATCACGTGTCACAAGTTTGCATTGAGTAACAATAATCTTTCTATAAAAACCTAGACAATAATTTAACATTTCTACTGCTTAAAAATTAATATTATTATATATAATCTAAGTTATTTAAATATTGAGGGTGTGGAATCAATAAAGATAACTTTAACAAAAATCTAGATAAATAAACGCATCGTTATCAGAAAAGAATAATTCTGCTTAATACTGGTAAAGCACTTTCTGTCGTTGTTGTCTGTATTCTTTTATATTCAGAATACAACGAATTGCATCGGCATGTATGCTATGTGTTTGTATTATAACTATTGAGAATACGTATTATCTTGTGTGCATAAATGATATATATTTTTCGATTGATTATATGCATTAGTTTAACATTCAAGATATGCTTTGGCTTACCTGGGTAATAATGTCGTTGGACAGGTGTCCAGACTTTCAAAACCTACCGGTTCAATGTACGTTGACTGAAGATCCGAAAGATCCGTGCTGCAAAATACCCGTGTGTAGCGCTGGAGCCAATGGACAACAGGTTCACATACCCGTCCCTAGTTACAAACCCGGTTACTCAGGTTATGGAACTGCTGCTCTTCCACAAAACATAGCTACAGGGGGATATGGACCGGGCCCAAGCAATCCCGGAACCGGAACCGGAACCGGAACCGGAACGGGAACCGGAACCGGAAGTATTGGAAAACAACCTTCTTCATTCACTGGCCTTAGTCCCGGTCATACTGTCGTAGGTACAACTGGAGGTAAGTTATGCAAGGTATATTCAGAGATGATATACTGTACATCGGGAATTGTTAATATACGTACAAGCTAAAAGTGCAATTTAAAAGTTTTTCATCGAGATACTTTACTCGGCTTGTTCCAGTCTACTAAGCTGTAAATGAGTACGTGGTTGGGCAGTGCTAAAATGGCTGAATGCTACATGTGAACGCCAAAATGGCAGCACAGGTTGTATGTCCCCAAGGAAGTTGAGAAAGATATTGGCTGGTTGCAAAGGCCCTATTACCACGGATTATATTTTATGAACCACTTTGAGACGACCTACAAACTAAGCTGTGATAAAGCGGTATATAAGTACCTCAAATTATTATTATTATTGTTAGTGGTAGTTTTATAACCGGTTTGACAGGAAATGCAATTTCTATTTATAGATATCGGGCTGCGTCTCCTTTTGTTTTGTTTAGTACTGGGGTTGTTTGAACCCTTTTGATATATATATATAGTTGGGTTTTTTGTTCGTTCACATCGAGACTCTGAAGTACACGGGGTGACCCAAACTGAGGTAAAATGCAGGGTGACCCAATCTCGTTACCATGCAAACGCAAACTTAAATGTCAGCGCTTCCTTAGAAACGATAGCCGGAAGTGATAGTCACTTGGTGCTTGGGATACATATTTAAGCCTAGTGACGGAAGATGGTTCTGTGGTTTTTTTTAGGTGGATGTGTTTACAAAGGGGTTGTCCATCAGCAAGGAGACAGCTGGGATGACGGATGTGACTTCCGGTGTCAATGTTTGGACGCTCATCAAGGACAGTACAGATGTAACGATAGGTATGACTTAATACAGTAAAACCTCGATAGACTGTCACCATATGTCCAGACGTATTGTGACGCTATTAAGGGGGTTGAAGATTTATTGAAGGAAATGTATAAAGGAATTCCTAAGAAACGAGAGGAAGAGGGACCTTGAATGAGTTTTGCGGTAAACCAGGGAAAAATGAAACAATTTTACTGTATTTGTTATCTGCAATCCTTCACATGAACATTATCAAACTCAAAAAATGTGCTTAATTTACATTTTTGCGATGGCTTTAAGCAGTAAGCACTTGAAAGGCATTATTCGGCTAGAGGTTACTTCGAAAATGGTATAATATGTAATTTTCTTAAAAATCTATTCGCGTTTTAAAAACAATATTCGTCTTTGCATGAGAAGTTTATTTATCGAAATGGGACTAGTCCGTCTGAAAAAGGAGGTTAATTCAAATTTACTCGTGTTTCATATTCGGGTTTCTTCATTACTTTTCCAAGTTATAAATTATGGTGTATTAGCACTGCAAACAATGAAGTATATTGATTTTGGACATGCTTGAATAAGCGGCCGATTTTTTTTATAGAATACAGAATTCACAGTGTGAGAAATGCATTTTTAATTACTGAAATGTTCAAATGATTTTAGGCACATATATAATCAAATAATTATGAATATTAGATTAATTTGTGAAATTAAATCAAGCGTGTTTCGTATATATATTCTCTTAAATAAGGTTAAATGTCAGATGATGTAAGGATTCTCTAAATAAAAGTTCATTATGTGTCTCAAATAACTGGTAGCATGCCTAGTTTCTAGACTCGATACAACACTCCATGATAAGTGTAACCTGTCATAGAGCAGGCGTTAACCTTTTTTTTATTATTTTTTTATTGCCCCACAACATTTTTGGAATACTGCCAGGGTTGGGGCCCAGGATTCAATATATTTACAAAAATGTCCTCGAAAGTTAACAACTCTATACTAACCTCAACTTTACTGCAATTTTATCTTGGTGTCTTCTAGATTAGTAGTGACGTATTATGTTATCACGTGANATTATCCGACCATAATTTGTGGAGTTATGCCCCTTTATGGACTTGCCGAAACAGTGTCCGCTCGATATCTCGAGTAATTATTAACGGATTAACTTCAAACTTCAAACTTAACAACAAGGTTAATTACCAGGAAACCTCGTACAAGTTCGATAACTGCCATTATCCGACCATAATTTGTGGAGTTATTCCCCTTGGTTTCATTAATGCGATGCATGCGTTCCATGATGTTGTATTGCACTCATTGATCTACCAGTTATGTTAAATGATTTCTCTTTTAATATCAATTACTCACAAATACTTCATATATTTCAATCAGACAAACAACTGCTCATTCAATGTGTGACGGGCGTATTATATACCGCTCGCGGTAACCTTGTTGTGTTATGTATAGGTGCTATGGTCTATAAGTGTACTTCATTCATATTTGTATGTGATTTATAATATGTAGGTGCCCGAGCATGATGAATCTGCCTCCACAGTGTATAACTATGACCGACCCAGCAGATCATTGCTGTAAGACCTATCGTTGTGATTTCTCACAAACTATAACGACGCCCTCACCTTTTTATGTAAGAACAACACCACCCACCGGCGGAGGTAAGTAGCTGCACACTAGAAAGCGCTTTTAAAGGTACTCGCCTTCATGACAATGATAAACCTTCTATGCATTCAATATCTTTCTAGCGTTGATATAATATCTCTTTATAAAAAATGGTTTGTATTCGTGTTGTAAATAGAATCGTGATATTTGTTTCAGTAGAAATACAAATTTCTACTTGAGTATGCGTATACTCGTATACCACGAATTGATGTATCCCCAAAGTGGTGTTTTGTCAGGAAACCACAAAATTTGGGCCCCATGAAAATATCTGATTTCACAGGACAACATTTGTGAAGTAATACGTTTTAAGCGACAAGATCTTTTTATAAAATCTTTTTCATTGACTTTTTCAAAGTTTTTTGGGGAATTGGCCTTATGGGTATTAACTTATTCCGTAAGGGTTATCACTGCGATGGTTACCGAAAGGGATTTCGAATGGTCATAAACACTTTTGTCGATGCTGTATCAGCAAATATATGTTAGGCATTTATGGGTCAAAGAATACCATAAACTTGTAACATTGGATCCGTACAAAGGTGTGTTTGTAAGATACGAATAACTCAAAATTGGTGTTTGTGGCAAGGAAGTTATTCCAACAGTGTACACGTTATTAGGTTTTCAATTTTCGGTGAGATTCGCTCCTTTTTCAAGCAACAGAACAAACATACAACAGATACATTACATTAGAACAATAATCCCATTTGCTAGCGTAAGCCGGAGGTAGAATGTACACTGGTCGAACCGTTGAATATTCATGCTGAGTATGTGCGACCAATGACAAAGAAATTAGAAAATACCGGGGAAACTGAAGTGTAAAGAAAGATGCTGAAACTGTGAAATGAATCTGTCATAGGAATTTATAACAGCGAATCGGCCAGTGATGGATAAACTGAATCATGGAGTATAATCCAATCCTTCTTGAACAGTTAAATTATCATTTCGATATATGTGTTATTGTATAGATGTTTCCTCTCAAAATGACAGTTGATACCAGTATATCTTGTCTGTCACTTGGTGACGTGACTTTTCGTCCAATGAATGGCAATCTCAATGGCCTTTTTTATATGATAAACACAACCACCATCATGTACCACTTGATTATTCCAGACTACTGTGTATACAAAGGATCGTATTACCATCAGGGCGAGCAGTGGAACGATGGGTGTAGCTACAAGTGTCGGTGTGAGGATGCTAGGAACCACTATCACCAATGTACCGACAGGTAAGTACCATCAATAAAAATGGCTTCGGGAGTATGAACCATTGTAGCCAATACCTTTATTGTACTAACGGGTTATTTTCTGTTAACATGTGAATATCTCATTATCATAGCCATCCTTTCTCTTATCTGCAGTTATTAAATGATTTCCGAAGGGTTTGATGAACCGTTAAATAAAAACTTTATACGAAAATTCTTTAATATGATTAATTTATAATAAGGTATGGATCACCTGTCCGACCACGTATTAAGACACCCTGCTCTTAACCACCAAGTCCAACAAGTGCTATGTATAGAAGGTGTTATAAAATAATATTACTATAATCATTTACTTGAATTCGACATGACTGAATTATTTATGTATGAGGATGCGTAAAAAATATTACATAATGACAGACTTTACTGCATTTCGGTTTGTTTCGTCTATCAAAGGTGCGCTAAATTTGACAATGTGCCGCTTGGTTGTTCCTTCGTGGGCGACCCTAAGGATCCAACGTGTTGTCGAGTGCCCCAGTGCTCGGCTACAATGTCTGGTTCAATCACAGGAGGTCAATCGATGAACCCCACAGGATTTGTTGGAAGTCTAACTGGGTATGGAAAACCTCCAGGCACCGGAAATAACCCCAACATATCACAAACTGGATACGCAAGTATGTAAAAAAACAAAAAACTGACACATGTTCTAAATATCATTTTATTAGAAACTTTATTTCAGTTCGAATTCGTAATTTATATCAGTATATTTTCTATGAGTTAAAATATGGTTTAAGACAGTGCTGTCTTCTTCTGTCTAAACATTAACATAATCTGCAGTTTACATTAGTCAAACCGCTGCTCTGATTGTCAAAAGACATGTATTATCAACTCCTTCTTTAGAAGAGTGAACTCTTATGACAATCAATGGTTTTCTACTGAACGATCCCTGTGCCAATGCCTAAAACTTCGCAATGGAAACTCGCTTTTTTTCCGACATGACCATAGTTTTGATAAATCATTTTTGAAAAGGAAACCATACTTTCGGGAAATTATTGTGAGAAGATGATAAAGATTGAATAAACAAAAAAATGACCTACAGCAGTTTCGCGAGCTTGAAAAAAACCGGGAATCGAACCCTAGACTTCGGATTGTTATTCTATCGCTCTAACCGACGAAGCTATTTAAAATGTGTCCAGGCACAACTGCGCTACAGTTGTACCTACATCGAAATTAAGGTGAGGTTATTGTTTCGATGTCATCACTTTGATTTCATTATGTCACTTATGTACTTTTTGACTGCGTTTTTACCTTCCTGAATTCGAAAAATGATAAAGTCAGAGATGCTTCCTGTGCAAAACAAACTCGTGTTCTTCTGAACGACGTGATTTCACTGATTTCTTATTTTCTAAGTTAATTTATCCTAGTACTTTTGATTTTGTGTGTCATTGTTTCCTGTTTCTGTTTTTTTCCCCAATCTAATTGATAATACATTTTCTCCCATAATGCTGATACTATTACATTTTTTTTTTATTAAAGTACTAATTGAAACTTATTACAGATGCATGTATCTACAAGGGCCAAATTCATAAGCAGGGTGAGACCTGGCAGGATGGTTGTGATTACGATTGCGAGTGTACCGACGCTACAACGGGCATGTACAGGTGTACAGACAGGTAAAATATAGATATTGTATATAGAACACGCATGTGAAGGTATACACATATGTGTGGTATTCAAGTATTTGTGTCAGAAGGGGTAAAGGCACTATCTGGTTAAAACAACAACAAGAGAACACCGAAGTGTCAACAAAAGCATAATAAGACCAGGTGTTCCGGAAGGGTAAGAGTATTCTGCATCATTAACGAACCCGCCATGTAACTCTAGGTCAAATCCAAATAATCTCACATCTTCACATCCGGAAGTTAACAGGCAAAACCAGTGACCCAAAACAAAAAAAACGCCTTCAGACTTTTTTCCCCTATGCAAATATATATACAGAAATTGAAATATATCACAAGTACACATTTTTCAAAAGTTGAATACCTATAAATTCTATTCATTCAAACATATGTCAGCAATTCCTCATTTAATTCTTAATTGGTTCACTAATTCACCGGATCAATCTTAATATAATAACTACAAATATATGAAACACTTACTGATTGGCTGGTTTATTGGTGTGAGTCATTTTATGTTACCTGGTCCGCTATTGAATTGTTCCGTTGCAGATGTCCTAGATTTGGTCAACTGGCCAGTAATTGTCATTTGACATCCGATCCTAATGACCGATGCTGCCAGAAAGCCGCGTGTACACCTGTAGGCCCTGCGCAGTGCATGGACAATAATCCCAACTGTATAAATTACGGGAATTACGCCTGTAAAGATCCGTACACCGAATGGGCAAGAGACAACTGCAACAAGTACTGTGGATTCTGTGGCAGCACAGGTAATTCATTGTTTGGCACATCAACCAGACATCTGTTTTATTAGTCAACCATCATTAGATGATGGGCTTAGCATATCGCCCTCCGTGGTCCTACCGTCTGTCATCCGTACGTTCTTAAACAATTCTTGTTATCGCTATTTCTCAAGAAATATTAAAAGGATCTTTCCCATGTTCCACTTGAAGATTAATCGAAAATAATAAAAATGATGGCCGTTAGGCAGCCATTTCAGATTTTGACAGTCCATTGGTTATCACTATTTCTCAAGCGGTGCTTGATAGGTTTTTCACAAGATGTTGCCAGTCAGCCATCTTGGATTTTGATATGTCACGTTAATACACTATTTCTAAATTCTCATTTTGAAAGAACACAAGACCATAAATCCAACAGAAAGGAGAAAATAAGGGAAAATATCAAACCGACCTAAAACTTATGACAATTTTACGATGGTAAGACCTCTCTGGGATCTCTTGTTATCTATATGCTACATTAATGACAAATGTAATAATGATATCTTCTATAACTCATCAGTGCTCTTATCAAGAACCTTTATCATAAAATTTGAAAGTAAGTTGGTTTTTAGCTCACCTGCCCGAAGGGCAAGTGAGCATAGGCCATGGTTTGTCGTCCGTCTGTCCGTCGTCAACTATGACGATATTTGGTCAGTAGTATGCTGGGATAAAGGGCTACCACGCTTGTTCAAATGAGAGACCGTCATCCATTTTCAAGGTCACATGTGTCAAATATGTTGAAATAAATTCTAAATAACCAAAAGGTCCAGGGTAATGATATTTGGCCAGAAGCAAGCTGGGATGAAAGGCTATAATGTCTGTTCAACTAAATGTCCTCCTTTGACTTTCAAAGTCACATATGTCATATGTTTACATCTTTTAATAGATTCTTTTGAATCAAACACTGATATTTTGTCTGTAGTTTCTTTAAGTCCACTTTTAAGATAACTGTGAGAGTAATACCAGGTGAGCGATTCAGGCTCATTGGGCCTCTTGTTTGAAAAAAATAATTTTGTATTTATTTTCCCTTTCCTTATCATCCTGATGCTATTAAACAAAGAAAACAAGTCCCCCTCCCCCCTCTAATGCTTTTGTGATGTTATGCAAATTAAACCATCCCGATTACGAAAAGATTCTTGTAACACAATCAATAAGTGTTTCTATGTGACGTTTCGATGACTAGTACGGTATGTATTCTGTCACCTTCATCAGACAAATGACCAGTGAAGCGTATGTTCACAAAGGTGTAAAGTATATACGAGCTGATATTATGATATATATGTCATAATCCACACTATATAAACCACCCTGAATATGATTTACGTCGTTATGCCAACTAAGCTCTCTGCTGTTACAGGAGTGACGACCACCGCCAGCACGGCCTGCGTTGACCAAATTCCTAACTGTAAGGACTATGGATCGTCAGCATGTGTTGGAGAGTATATTGGTTGGGCCAAATTCAACTGCCCAGTCACCTGCAATTACTGCAGTGAGTAAAAAACAATGTTGGTGGCGTCGATTTAACGATGGAATAAGTATGGTATCGTCGGCTTTTGACGTGACTATTACTATAACCTTCAGTAACAATCGAACCTCGTTATCTCGAACTCTTTTAACTCGAAGACTCCGTTTATCTCGAAGTATTTCTCCGGTCCCGACCAAACCTATTCTTTATCATAGTAAATAAAACTCTGATAATTCGAACCCTGCAAAGTCGAAAAACTCGGATACCTCGAAGTAAGATATTTGTTTCGATAGCGTAAATCCAAAATCAAAACATCGTCTACATAGTGTTCGAATTTCATTAATTCGAATAATTGCAGATATTTAGCAATCATTTAACAGTGACACTAAACAAAAGTACTACTCACAGGTAGCTTTTAGCGACCCCCTGGTTGCATTCTTCAGCCCTTGTTTAGATCAGTGGGGGGCTTCAGACTAATCTGGTGATTCCGTCATGTGACCCGGGGTTCATCCGCAAGTCATGTGACTGAATCAGGCTTACATGTCGCTATTTAAACACTGTACATTGTTCTTATGGGCGCTTTCAAAGGATAACGTAACAATGGGTTTTCATGCATATTCTAATATGCCGATATCATACTGCAATACCTAGCACATATATCTCACGAACCTACTGCGCATCATGAAACAATTGTAAAACTATGCTGTTTAGCATCATGAAATAATAAAGTATGTATTTCATTCCTTACATGTACCGGTAGTTTTGTTGGAGATGTAAAAATATTTGACAGTAAATGTATATGCAGATCTACTTTCTCTCACATTGCCTGTTCCTTACATATATCTTTTACAATGCGTATACTAGTGAAATATGACGAAGACAGATATCCTAAAAGTAGGAAATAGGCAACAAATGAAGGAAAATCAATAAAGAATATGCATATATTGTGCTGTTTCAACCCTTTGCTTAGTTATATCGTATGTATGACCACATATCTACAAATGTCAACATTTAGCTTTTCTCTTCCTTGGGGAATTAGATAATTTACATAACTTTCATAGAAAGTCCCCAAAACCAAGTTTGACCAAATCTGAGATAGCGGGTTCTTTTGTTGTATGCATGCATAATTTAAGTGTTACAACTGCTTAAACCTATGATTGGCATCTGGGAGTTGTATTTTGAATGGTAATCGATTCCAAATTTGACTCCTTTCTACTATTAAATACTTTGAATAGATAAAAATGAGCATTTACTCTGGTTATTTATTGTTTTATTTATTTTTCTCAAAGCAGCTGCAATAAATACTTGTATTTGTATACCTAGCAAAATTAAAATTTCTATAAAGATTCCCACGTACTAAACATTGTTGATATATTTGAACAATATGACATTTGGAATATCAAATATTCCTTGAACAGCATTTATCTTAACAGAACAATTATCGGGGAAACAGAATGTAACAAAAATAAAAGATAAACATTTTAACGAAAATATTTGAACCCAATCAGAAACCGGTACCGGAACAGGAGGTACTGTTACCGGAACAGGAACAATAAATACAGGAACCAGTGGTACAGTAACAGGAACCATTGGTGCAGGCATTTCAGGAACTGGAACTGGTGGCACCGGTAATATCAATCAATACGTTTACTTGAAATGAATCATCCCTTTAAAATCAGATTTTGTTCAGATTTGAATCAATAATTAATGTTGCGTTATTCGATGCAAATTCGAGACGTTACCTTGTAGAGACGTTACCTTGCAGAGACGTTACCTTGTAGAGACGTTACCTTGCAGAGACGTTTTAGTGTCGGTTTCAAAAATCATATTAAAGATATCTCTGTTGGCTCGTTCTGTATTATAACTAAATAAAAAATGAATATATATGAAATATAGTAATGTATATATAAATATATTACCCAATGTGGCACAGTTTGTAACCTCCCACAGTCGCAATAACGCAACTATTTTATCTTGCTTGTATTTATCATTATGCCAAGCTGCTTTAACCTATCATGTGTGTTGTAGGAAGTGGAAATTGTCGTGACACCATCGCAAACTGCGCAGAATTTACGTCGTTGGCGTGTGTGGATCCATACACAAGCTGGGCCCTATCCCACTGCCCCCATTTCTGTGGGCTCTGTAGTTAGTATGGCTTTCTTCTTAATTTGACTTGTGCAGTACATATCATTGATCCCCTTGGCCCTTTACAGTGTCTGTTGTAGCAACTCTCCTTGTCACGTTACAACATCCTCGATGTCTAGGGGTAACGCTCATTTTCGCTCCCTGCGCCCCTGAAATATGTCGTAGCAAAATTGAAGGCACGCAGCTAGCTATTTGATTGGTCTCAGGTAAAAAACAAACTGTCCAAATGCTAGGCAGATACTTATTCTTTGAATATTATACAGAAGCGACGCCCGACGTCAAAGCCAGAAAAATTTCCCGGTTACCCGATGGTGAGAGGATTCTTTTGATGTACATCAAAGGATCAAGCTAGTATTCTCGTCTCATCAACAAGGTGCTAAGCACTGATTCTTCGATTTTGCTATGACATATTCCAGGAGTGCAGAGAGCGGAAATGAGAGTTACCCCTGGATATCGAGGATGCTTTACTGTGACTGATGTAGAAATATTGATTGTCAAGTCATTGTTACCAGTGTATTCAGTACCATTTGTCCGTTTCCCTGTCACTCTCACTTCCCCATTGTCATGGGAATTATCCTTTAACTTTCGTTGTCCCTTTTCCCTGGGACTTTTGAAATCAATTGTCTTTGTCATTTTTTCATGGACTATTGTAGTAATGTTTCATTGCCTCTTTACTGGGACTATATCAGTTAAATACCCGGTGTCCCAGCAAATTGGACTTTGGAAGTCAATTTTCATTGTCTTTTGTTTGGACTACTAGAGTCAAATATCATTTTCCATTTTTTAAGGACTATTGTAATAAATTTTCATTGTCCTTTTTGTTTGGATTACTGCAGTAAAGTTTTAGCTTTTCTAGCCTGGTACTGTTAGGAATTCTCTTTTTGACTTGTCAATATTGTAGTAATGAGCATTTGATGCTTTCAATTTTTAAGTGTTGCAGTCTTTTGGTCACCTACAGGGCTCGTTATGAGTTATTAGCCTCTTTTACATCGCTCATAACAACAGGCCCTATTTTGCTATGCCCGAAAAGGATCTCTTTAATGTACAATGTAGCAATCGAGATGAGGTTATAATTCCGTTGATGCCATCTTCTTCGCAAGAGATGTAAAGTGCAGCATATAATTTACAATATGCACACTCACGTTTATTCTGTGTAAATTCTTATCAAAACATATCTTTCTAGATCAACTTGTAGCTAACGGAACACAAGGCGCTGGCTTAACCGGAGCTGGACAAGGTGGTGTCGCAACCGGAACCCAAGGAGGAGGGTTCAACGGAACTGGTACTGGAACAGGATCAGGAACACAAGGTGGTATTGGCGGAACCGGATTTGCGACAGTTAATCCAAATCAAGGATTTACTGGACAAAGTGAGTCAAAGAGAGTTATAGAGTCCTTACCTAGGATTCCAAATCCCAATCTTTATGAAACTTGACGTGGTGATACACTGTTATATGTCGATTTACAATAGGGATTCAAAAAACAATTCGAAGGTCAAAGTCGTTGAAACTTAAAATGGACTATGGGGGTACAGTCTTTATCTCAGTATCTAAACGAATGACCCTTTTATTATGGTGATACACTGTGATATGTTGATGTGCAATAGGGGTTTTAACAGTTTTATAAGGTCAATGTCAAGGTTTCTGTTACTAAAAATAGATCCGGGGAAGGGGGATTGGTACTGTCGGGCACATGTCGGGGCTCTTGCTGACCTGACAACGATAGCTGATTATGTTTATAAGTTCCTCAAATCAAATTCTTGTAGCTCTATCGATAAAATGAAATTTCATGACTGTGCATTTTTTGTATTACTAAATTAAAATCCTGTTAATTTTGATGTTTCTACTTGAGCTATTTTAATGTTATCCATTTCGGTTAAAACGTAGATTGCTATATTAACATTTAAATTTACTAACCTGTTAAATTACCTGACTCTCCTTGCGTTATCGTTATTCAATATCCATATTTCCCATTTTCTTTTAGAAATCATGTTTCCTCTTCCCCTTCAGTATACTGATAAATGAATGCAGTACAGTGGCTGATTATTTCAAGTTAAACTAAATTTGTTCTAGGTGGCGGTTGTTACTACAATGGTCAGTTGTACAACACTGGGCAGACTTGGCAGGACGGATGTCGTTATAAGTGCACTTGCACAAACGGTGTTCGAGGACAATACTACTGTACTCAACTGTACGTAAATGTCTTATTCAGATTATCATTATCATTTCTGCTTTTAGTCTCTATAAAAAGTAGCCGAAAAAAGCGTTCACAGGGCTATAAATGCAATTCGATTCTTAATATTTTAACGTTTTTTCTGCAACCTCACATATCATCGTAAGTTGCATTTAATGACGTAAGGCTGTTCCAGGAATGTAGTTTTGATTGATGATAAGGAAACTAAAATACCGCAAATTTTAGACAATTACTCTATAAAGTTTTTTTAGTCATTTATTCACTATGATGTATATTGTTTTATCGGATTGTCATGCATTCATTCCGATATAAACGCAAATTGCTTACATCATAATATACCATCTCAAAAAACATTGTGTACAGCTTCTTTTAGAACAATTTTAGCAGTTCAGAACTATTTTTCAAAAAAGAAACAAATATCAACGGTTTTTTTTTATGAAACTAGTAACTAGAACCACATTAAAATCAAAGTTAAAATTCATAGAATCATAATTTCATAATCATAAAAATAGATTATGCTGTACCAATGGTTGTATTACTCAAACACAAAAACAAAATAATACCCCCTGTCCTCTTGAAAACAAAGATAGATATTTCCAAAACAAAAGGAATGATTTAAAATATCACTTTTAATATTATTGACTCAAGTAGAATTTCATTTTCAGATGCATACAATATAGTAGTCTCCCCCAAGGCTGTGTACTGCAGAAACCTCCTGGCGAGTGCTGCGCTAAGCCAGTATGCAGTAGCAATACCGGAACCGGAAGTGGTTCCGGAGGATCTATAACCGGAACTGGATCACAAGGTTCCATTAACGGAACTAGCTCTGTTACAGGATCTGGGTCACAAGGTTCCATTACCGGAACTGGCTCTGGTACAGGAGGCCAGATTTCAGGTAAAATTGTATTATTGTATTGAACAAGTTTATTGTTATTATGACATTACACTTTGAAAGTAGTGTTTGCTCCATTTTCTTTGTCCCTCTCATTTAAATGAGGTTTTCAACCAAATGGTTTTCTATTCCGAATATATTGATAATGCATGTCACTTTTGAATACAATATATATTAAGAAAACTTAAATCTAAAAATGGCGAGAATACTGTACCTGGGAAATGTTCGCCATTCAAATTTTTGCCTTTCGAACGGTAGAATCCGTTTTCGTCAAATAATATTTTTTCCATTAACATTTATTACCTATGTATAATTATATGTTGTTTACAAATATTCGCTTTAATGATAAATTCGCGCCCTCGTTACAGAGGGCGGAAAAGTCGAAAATTAAACTGCTGTGAAGATTTCCTGGTGTACAGTAAATATTTAGCAAAATATAAATGAATAAAGAAATAGCTATTATTAATACAGAAATGGCAAATAGAAGCGTAAAAGTTCATTGTTATCTATCTTAATTCTTTAACTGACGATCTTATATCGATACACTCTAAAGTCCGACAAGCTTTTAGCCGATCTTTAAGAAAATGAAAGAGTGATTATACTGTCGCAAATTGAGGCATTGTCGTAGCGGAGCTGGGTCATTGACGTCACTAACATTCGCCATCCTGCTTCGTATGCAAATGATAAATTTGCGTACGGTATATCGTGGTTAGACTGTCGCAAATTATTTTGATTGGCCAATCAAATGTTACATCTCAAATGAATTATAACTTTGGTTATATTTTTCATAAAATATGTTTTCAGGTGCGTCTCGTGGATGTTACTATAAAAACGTACTCTATTCCCAAGGACAGACGTTTGATGATGGCTGTACGTACACATGCACGTGTACTGACGCCAGTCGAGGATTCTACACCTGCAAAAACAAGTATTATTATTATTATTTTTTTATTATTATTATTATTATATACTGCTGCTGCTAATGTATGCGGCGGGACTGTAATTTATTTTATATACATAATTCAGTCCATTTGTTTTTATTCAAGCCATTTTGAAATATAAACATTAAGTTTATTTCAGTTATCTTATGCTCAGGTCTGTGCATATTGTATGCATTCAAATCAAATGTACAGTATTGGAACTTCATGTTTAGTTTTTGCTTCATACATAAATATGATCTTCTTTCTCATAATTTATTAAATAATTTTATCATTTTCAATGATATCGTGATTATCTCTTACGACACATAATTAGCTGTTTTGCCTATTTCAGAGATTTAAAGTAGACTTTTTTGCTTGTTTTTGTTTATCTTAAACAGTATTATACGTTTTCACTCTTATTGAAAATTTTGGACAAATAAACTACAGGATAGATAACACAAGATGCATTTTATCACGCTTTGATACGCCTCAAAAAATCATTTTGGTTAGTTGTGTATCAGGGCTATGCTATTTCTTTGCCTTGATACAGGGATGTAAATAACAACAATTGAGTGAATGTTAGGGACTCCATCAATAGTAGCCCAATACAAGTGATCATAGAACCACATAGAATTACATGAGACATAGTATTCTAGAGACGTACATATTTTAATACGCAGGTACTATTGATAAACATTTCAAAAGTTAATTTGATTTTGGAAATCATAAAATTGACAAAATCAGGATTCAATCACTATTTTTTAATTAACACCTATTTGTTTCAATAATTGGAAGCGAAAAAAATGTTTATGCTTTAAAGTTGAAACTTAAATTTGCCTAAGTCTACGTATTGACGTTATGTAAACAATGTGGTTTAGCATATAAAGGCAATCATATGGCGATGAACTGCAAACTGACATTTCAATACAACAATATTATGAAATAATTAAACCCAAAAACAAATTTAAAAATGTCGTTTTGAATTTATTTGATTAATTCTTTCAAAATGTGAAAGCATGTTTTCATACGCTCAGGTAATGCTCTTCTGGCCTATTTCATGGGCAGTAGAAACAGAAAAGACTTGATAGTTTCATTTAGACCATTTTTGAGTAGATATTTAAAAATGACATAATAGCACAGTAATGATTTAAAAACATATAACAATACTATTACTTTGATTTTTTTTTAACTCTAAGGTGTATCATTTGGAATCTTCCCTCCGCCTGTCATCTAACTCCCCCGGCACAGGGCAAGTGCTGCCAAACCCCAAGCTGTCCGGCCGGTTACACCCTTAACTATCCTCCTGGATACACGGAGCAATAAGGACCCGCGCGTAGCGTTCGCTACTTATTCATTTGCTGTATAAATATATATTAAAAAAAATATTTTGTAATTTAATGTACGTGTTATCTTTAACACCAAATTAAGAAAGATGTATATCATTGTATTGGTTCTGGTATTAAGGAGTTTTAAGCTGCATTTTTTTTTTTACTTTATTGACAAATATGAAAGAGTATGTCTAATTTCTAAACGTTTAAACATTGATTCAGGTTGTGAAAATTTTATTGTTATTATTTTTTCAAAATAAGATTTTGCATTCCCTTTAATGCCCAGTATACAAAGTAAATCTAACCGTATTATCAAATAATCTCCGCTAATAAAGCAAGGATTTTAACAGATTGGCGCATTAAAGAACTGGCGCCCTAATTAACAACATATGCAATAGGACACTATACTATATACTGGTATATAGAAACTTCAATAAGAAAGAAAAATTAATTAGCACAATGTTTAGAGCAAAAAAATTGTCGACCGAATTATCACCACATACACATGCGTAACGAATTTGATGAAAACGAATTAATCTACCAGAAATTAATATAAATATCCGCGCGAAAAAAAAAAGTATACCAATATACCGGTAACCATTATCAAGTATTTAATGTCTCCACTTTGATTCCATTCAATTTGCTTAAAAGTGACGGCACTTATTTAAATTTCCACTACTTTATTGGCATTCAAAAGGCTATAAACGCAGTTTGATCAATTTTATGTTGACGTTTCTCCTCTCGCCTCGATCTATGTGAGACGACCATTAGAAGTAAACATTTTAGTGTAGTTAGGCTGTTCCAAGAATCTCGCTTTCACTGACGGTACAGACACTTCAATTTCGAACAGATAAGGAACTCCTATATTCAAATTAATTATAGCTATAAAATTTATATTGCAAATATATGTATTGAACAGCATTTTTCAATGCCGTTCAATCCATATATATTAGTGCCATGACGTCATGATTATTTTGTTCATAATGGCGTCATAATGATAATTATTATATACGGTTACATTAGGTAAATTGCACACAATTTGACAACTGTATAAACAGCATAACACGTGTATGATGCGATTAAAAAATGACCTATATGCTATATGATTTAAGGTTTTGTTTTCAAATTTACAATCAGAAAGATTTATCTTTAATTAGACTAAAGTTTGTGCAGATAATCTTGTGTTTGCAACAGCTAAGATACTGTTCATGCTATTGACTAACTGATATGGTAATTATATATAAAGGTGATGACCATAGACAATGGGGCCACGTAAGGACCACTTTCTTACTGAAATGTCACAACCTGGACTTGATAACACAATTATCCACCAAGTATCATTCCTATGACAACGGTCAGACAAGAGGAACTTAGGGAAATACCGTTGAAATAAAATGATAGTTAGAAAAGAAAAGATAAAGGCCCCAGGTTTTGCATCCTCGATATCCAGGGGTTACGCTCACGTTCGCTCTCTGCACTCCTGGAATTTGTCATAGTTAAATTGAAGGCACACAGCTAGATATTTGATTGGTCTCTTGGTCTCAGGTAAAATAAGTATTGGTTATATCATAGGAACCGAGCAATATGTTAGTTATTGTACGAGAGGGGCGGAGCTTCTTCTCGAGCGCGTAGCGCGAGAGATGTAAGCTCCGCCCCTCGAGTACGATAACTGACATATTACGAGGCTTATGATGTAACCGACCTGTCGCATAAAGTGTCACGTAACAATTTTAAGAGAACATTTGAACTGTTGATAATGTCCCGAACTGGTCACAGGAGCACAGCAGTTCCAACTTACAAGAGACTGTGTGCTGCACCCTTGTTAGAAGTGAGCAAATTATTGGACCCTCCGAAGGAGAAAATGGTAAAAATTGAGGGCGCTACATGTAAAAATGGTAACTCAGATATTAAGCCTACTAATGTGAATATTAACATGCCTACAGAAAAGGACAATGTTCCATTTGCTAATATTTCTAATATGTCCAGAAAGGTGTTTCACAATTGCCACGTGTCTTTTAATTACAAGACCGACTGGTACCAGTTTATGCTAAGACTTTAACTTACAAAACGGAAAAAAGATCGACCGTGGAACCTGTCTGTAAAGGCGAAATTTGTTGAATTGTTTGCAACAATGTTGCTTAATAAAATGTGTTTGAACTTCTTGTGTTTGTATTTTTATTTATTTCGCACGGTGTCGATATCCTATTAACATTCACTAATTGGCCACTGTACACTTTCATTGGCTGACCAATGAGAATGGAGAATTCTATTGTATTCAGTATAGGGGAGGAGCCTCACTAATACCATACGGTATAAGTAAAACTGTGTAAAATAAGTTGGTTATACCATAGCTAGATCAAAGGGAAAGTGACAAGTCTATGCGACAAACATGAACAATTGCTAGGCTGATACCTTTCCTATGAAGAGTTTAGAGGAGCGGCACTTGACTTCAAAGACAGCCAATTTTACCGTTACGCAACCGCGGATTCTTTTGATGTACATCAAACGATCAAACTAGCCTTCTCGTCTTATTCACAAAGTGGGGCACATTGAGCCTTCGAATTTGCTATGACATATTGTGCAGAGAGCGAAAGTGAGCGTTATTTCCCTTGATTAGCGAGGATGCAGGTTTTGCAAAAGGGTAGATTAATTTTACTCTTTTTAATGTCGCTAAGTTAGAAAACACATGTGCAATCCATTTTGTTCTTCTGGAGGGAAACATAAGTAGCTCATTGATCTTGCAGAGAGGTCTCGATAAATCACAATTTCGTGCGAACATGAATTCGTGGATTACGAGTAACCACGCAAACAGAAAATTGCTTTATATCAAACTTAATCACATCGTTGACCTATGGATTCGGGGTTGAAGCTTACTCACGAAATGAACGAAATTAAAAACCCTACGAACATATGTGATTTCACATTATATTTGCAAGTTGTGTTGACGCTATCTTCAAAATAACTCAGATTTTCATGGATAAATTAAGCAATTATATTCTATCAATGCAAAAAAACTACAAAAGAATACCGAAGTGCCAAAAAACCAATTGGCATTGCATCGATAAAACTATCGAAAAATATAAACAAAGATATATTAAAATGTCCAAGGAAAACCTTTGAAAAGTACAAAGATAATAAGACCATATGTTCTGAAAGGGTAGCACGTGCTATTTAAATCTGTGTCACACCTTTGTTACGTCTCCTCCTCGAAGTGAGAACGGGTTTGTAACAACGGAACAACAAGCCACACTAATGGGCATAAGCAAAACACTAACCTTAATATCCCTAAACGCAAAACAGAACCGCAATACCTATCCTCTGAATTGAATAAATTAATACATTATAGTTGTTATATTAAATGTTTGTCGAATATATATATCTGATAACAATGATGTTAAGGAATAAACATGAAATGTGTGTGTATAACCTAATATCATTGTCTGTCTATCTATTGTATTTATATCGAGTGGGTGCTGTCTTTCTATTGTTTGTGTGTAAAGTAACACTTCGATATTGTATTTATAAGGCACGGTAGTCTAGTGGTACATTGTAGGACGCCGGGCTCGTGACCAAAGGGTTGCAGGTTCTAGTCACGGCACGGCACGGCACGGCACGGCACGGCACTGTGTTGTATCTTTGAGCAAGATACGTTACTCCGCTTGTTCCAGTCTACTCAGCTGTAAATGAGTACGTACTTTGGCAGCGCTAGAATTGTTGAACGCTAGCTGTTAGCGCCGAAATGGCGGCTCCGGCTGTATGCTCCCCAAGGAGTTGAGAAAGATATTGGCTGGATGCAAAGGCCCTATATATAACCACGGATAATAATTTATGAAACGCTTTGAGACGACCTACGAACTAGGTTGTAATAAAGTGGTATATAAGAACCTGGAATTATCATTATTGTTATATCAAATCAGTATATTGTCTTTATATCAAGTTAGTATCCTGTATTTATAGTATATGAGTATGCTGTATTAATTTGTTAGTATGCTGTATTAATATCATGTCAATATGCTGTACTAATATCTAGCTAATATCCTATATATATATAATGCAATATGGTGTACTATTCTCATTTTGGAAACCATTAGCAATACCATTACTTATAATGATAATAATTATAAATGATTAATTTTCCAATCTGTCAGTTGGAGCTATAGTTAGGCCAAGCTGAGGTAGGAGATATCCACCATATCTATTCAATATTCAGGTAAAATCAGGGCAGGGATTTCTTGTCATATCTGTTAGATCATGTTTGGACAAGGTCGACCTCGATATATCATATTGTCTCTCATGGTCCTAGTCGGTACCTAGGACAATCTGTAAAGTAAACAAAGACAGGCGTTATATACCATTTCAGTAAACAATCTACTTTAGAAGGATAACAAAGTGCGTGAAAGTGGATTTTATTTCATATATCACTTCAAAATTTGAAAAGGTATAATTGATATGTTTATTTAAGTAACGCTAATTAAGATTAAACGACACGCAAGGTAGTACAACACCGCCAACGTGAAAATGTTAGTACTGTGGACATATTTGCCTCAACCAAGAGTTAGCGCAAAAGTGTTTATATGTGCATTATGATTTATAAACCCCAATTATGTACGCTTTACTAATACACACAAAACACATTAGCTCATTGGTAACAATATGGAGAATAAATTCATCGGTAACTCCCGTAAGCCAATATGACGTTAAACAAAATTAAACCAAACCAAACCAAACGATCTCCCGTAACCAATTATAAAAGCATAAACGATATTCAAACATAGTTTGGTTTGGTTTTACGTCCTATAAACAGCTATAGACATTTTAGAACGAGCCTGATTTTGGTGATGGAGGAAAAACAGAATGCCCGAAGAATAACCACCGACTTACGGCCAATACCTGACGACTGCCCGACGTAGGCCTCGAGCCCGGGACCCAGTAGTGGAGGGCTATTGATCGTACACGGTGGAACCCGGGACCCAGTGGTGGAGGGCTAGTGATCGTACACGGTTGAACCCGTGACCCAGTGGTGGAGGGTTCGTGATCGTACACGGTTGAACACGTGACCCAGTGG